AATCTCATGATATTAAAGAAAAAAATCAGTTCAGCAAGGAATGATCAATAGATCTATACCTAAAACTAATACGTTCGCGGTGATGTAATGAATTTAGAGGTAATCAGTAAAAAAATAAAACCAATCATTCGCCAATTTTGCCCAAATATAGTAACACCTCACATCTTCCAGTGAAGTCAGGGTGTGGTGAGCCTAGCGCCATTCTCCTCACTTTATAAGCAAAATCAATGGGAACTATTTGACACATCTGCAATCAACAAATATTTCACAAATATTGGTGAAATACTTCACCATTGAAATTTGCGAGAGCAATGGTTAAACTGACACGTGCATGGCAGTTATATGTTGTAATACATCGGGTAAAAGTGAAAAAAAATTAGTTATTTCACCTTTCCGATTCATGATCCACGACGGGTTCGTCGTTGGATTGCCAACTGGAATAGGGAAGATTTACCATCGATCTTCTGGCCAGAGAAAAAATATGTAATATGTAGCCAACATTTTAAAGAAGAATGTTTTCAAGATGACTTGGATATCAGCGAGTAGTGACAGACACAAGATACAGCACTGGAACTTGCTCAACAGACAATACTGTGCCGTGACGTCACAAACCGGTAGGTGGCATTACTGTTCTTTGACAAACATGGATGTTTCCGATAAAGAACATTCAAATGAAATTTACTCTTAATTAAAACACTAATCATTTATTGAACAGGATGTAATAATTTCATATTCAAAGTACTTTCAGAAGTTTGAATTCTGAATATGACCGGACTTCTAATTAAAGCCTTTTTCACGTAATTCTATGACTTTACTCTCATAATATCACAATTCTATAATCTTATGCCTTTATTCTCGTAATATAATTACTTTTTTATTATTATTCTACAACTTTATACTCATATTATATTTCTCTCCTAATACAATAATTCTCTGTAGTCTTAATACTCAAAGCCTGTATCCAAATAGTAATACTAATTTAATATGGTATCGGTACTAAAAATAGTGTTGATTGGATATTTTTACTCTTTTCAATTTTTAATTTTTGGATTACTTGCACATCGAAAGGATAATACTTTAGATATCCTTAAAATATTGTCAGATTGTTTTGCATTTATTCGCACACTTAATTAACTAGCTTAATGAGTCTGCTGAGAAAGCATGTTCCATGTTAAAGTTGAAAAACGTTTCTTTTATACCTTTAATTATTTATTTTTTTTTTCTATCACATCAATAGCGAGTATAGAGTCAAGTATCAAATATTTTCTTTTGTATTGATATTAAGTGTACTACTTTAGTTTCCTGACAACCTTTACTCATAGTATACTAAAATAACCGCACAATGTACAATGTAATTTCAGTAATCTAATGGCTGATCATCACTGCAGTAAAGCCTTAAAGGGATCTTTTTTAATCAATGTTTTTGCAAGGTTTTTAATGTATTATTATATCCCAATCAGTGTGAATAAATTAGTGGTACAGTAAAATTTACTCCCCCTGATACCAGTAGAAACTCCTCACCTGTGTTAAAAACCCAAACTCATCTTAACGCACCTCATCTTAACATTTATGAAAGTAACTGCCCATAAATGACTAATTCTATGTCACCAGAAACTTATTAAACAGTAATTGGATGTTATCGCCTAAAATACTATGCAATAAATGAGGACCAAGTGTCCAGCTAAATTTAAGATAATGTGTCTCCAGAGGGTGTGTGGTAAACTGAAGCCTTAATTGAGACTTAAAAATGCAATATCACACTGCAAAAGATGAATACCTCCCTTATCGCTCATGATTTCCTAAGCTTTGGAAACAGAAAAGGTTGGGTGTTTTACCAACTGATAATATATGTAGAAACAGGAGAAAATGTAGTAGGTATGGTTTGCTAAGCGTTATCATGGCAACCTGAGGTTTTAAATAGTTTTTGAAGATGTTGTAACACCTTCTAAGGCAAGGGTAGGTAATGTTTTTCAGTCCAAGACCCCCAGATTGATCAAGAGAGGGGACAAGGACCCCCTGACCGTGTCCCCCCAGGGGTCGGTGAGGTACTACTGTTAGACATGGTCCGAGTTGCTGACGACGAACATTTAACCTATTGAGCCCACAGGGTTTAAGAACTAATTTCCACTTGAAAATATCCAACAAATTACATCAAGAACAACTCCAAGGTTATCAGTTCTGAATGTAAACTTTCGACACTTGTAAAAAGGTACCACAGATGCTATTTTTTTTGCATGAATTGTTTTATGATTTGGGTCACAAAATTTTCACCACAGTATTGCAAAACCTATGCTCACATCTCCCACATTTAAGACCTCTCTTTTACAGCTGAAAGCATTTTTTAAAGAGATGCCAGAGAATGTGCTGACATGATTAGAGTTTTCACTGGCTGGACAACACATAGAATAGCAGAAAGCTATCTCTCCCCCAGCTGCTGCTGCACACTACTTGTCAGCTGGCTGAAAAACAGGCTATTACACTTTTCTCAAGCTTACAAGAAAAAAATACCGTAGTTATTGGTGTTATGGTATATAAACAATATTTACTGATTTACATCATATATATTTTCTTAACAATGAATGAACAATCACACAACTGACAACAAATTCTACATTAGCAACACCCTTCAGAAACACAAATGGCAACAAGATAAGAAAAAAATATATTGGTTATCAATATTGACCAGGTTTTATTTTTTGTAGCAAAGCAGATAAATGACCAACAGTGAATGATAATGATATAGATGTTATATTGTGCATGCCTTGTCATAAAAAAAATACTTTGTTATAAAGTGCAGTATGTGAAACAAAGGAATTATATCCTCTGGATGAAGTATTTAAAAAAATAATTTAACATTATTCAATTTAATATGAATTAGTTTGGTTAATTCTATACCTTTAATAATAGCTATATTATTCTATATTATCTTATATTGCAGATGATATGTAATATTTTTTAGAGTAAAGGAGTTCATTGCAATTTTGCGTACATACTGTAATATTCTGAAATTGTATTATGTACCCTCAAGATAATATACTGAGGCTAGCTGAAACAGGTATATGACTAAACAACTAAGAACGAGAATTTGCACTTTTAAACGGCAATTCAAATAATATAAATGCACGAATATCTTTACCTAAAACATGTATCGCTTTTGCTAAAACACACTCATTATTCTTTCCCCAGAAGCTATTCTGCATTCTGGATGCAAGTGATTTTCAAGTAAGCATTGAATCAACAAGACAAGAAGCAGAGAAGCCAAAACATTCCTGCATGGATGGTTTTGAAAAGGTCAATTAATATCTATGCCAAGACAACAACAAAGTGTCTGTCTGCTTGTAATACAGGTGGCTAGGCTCGGAGCATCAAAGTTGTTGTTGTCTTTCTTGCCAGCTGACTGGTGCAGAGCAAAACAACTAAGAGCTTCCAAGAGATTTAGACAAAAACAAAGATGGAAGGAATTGGTGACAAGAGATGAGAAACACACAAATTGGCTGGATATAAGACTTTTATCAAGTCTTTTATGTGAAACAGAGGTACTCTACAGTGCAGATAAGACAGAAACCCACTGAGGACATAGGCTGGTATTTTGTAGTTATTTTTAAATGTGTATATTAATGACAAACCGTGCAATCATACCAAAAGACACTGCACCTGAAAGTTTTAATCTGGATTTAAGGCAGAACTAAATACGTCCAGACTCTTGGGCATAAATATTTGATCCCTCTGAAAATGACAGCCAATTATTCTGCTTCACTGTAACTTCTGTCTTTCAGAATTATTTAAGTGATAAGATCTTGCACTGTCTTCTAACAGTGAGGCACCTTTATTCTTTTATTGAAAAGAGTGAAGGTAAGAGGTTAGAAATAAAAGCAGCTTATGCCAAAGATAGGAATCCATGCGTAAAAATGACTGATTAAAATAATTAGTGATGTGGAAATGGTGTGGAACAGTAACAAGCAAACACAGTGTGCCTGGGGTTGGGGGGGGTGTCCATCTGTAAATGAAGACGTAGACCTACAACAGTGCATTTTTTTATTTTACAGAAGGCCTTACAGCAGAAGCACCAAAAAAAGGAAAGAAAAAGCATACAACATTTACCCAATTAAACCCCTCCAAACAAAAAGCAGCCCTCAGAAAAAATGTGTCAGCTCCAATAGATGTATCATTAAATTACATTGTGCTTTGCTTGCTTGAGTGGCTCTGTTAAAAAAAACAAATCCTTGTAAACACTCAAGGAGGTTGGAAACACTGGCCATGTATGGAAATGGGTTTAGTTTGAGCATTGCTTTAGAGCAGCAGATGCAGCAACCGCTCTATTGTCTCGGAAACAGTCCTTCCAAATAAGTCCACCCGCTTCACCACCTGGTGCCTTCCACATACAATATTAGTTTAATGGCCCATATGCATTTATAATGTGTCTATGATTGCCTCCTGAAGAAGAGTTCAAAATGACATTACCATAATGGGATTTTAAGTTTGCAGTGAAATATGAATAAAACATAGCAAAAATTTGCAGACTTCTTTAAAATGAATTATGAGGTGTTTTCTCTGTTGTTTTAAATTTTCTCCAGGTAGATAATCATCCACTGAGGAGCTTTTAATGAGCGGCAAAAGCAGAACTAATTGTCACTCTCTCCTGGCTTTAAATAGGTGCCATCAAAAAGCCACTTTAAATGAGAGAGGCTGTGGAACAAAGGCTCCTCCAGTCTGCACTGGCCCCTCACGCTGCCAAGCCAACAATGAGGAGAAGGTGACAGGGGAGCACTCTGTTGGCAACCAGAGCATCATATTTAAAACAAACTATGAACAAGGTTTAAAGAGATTAGGGGAAATAATGCAAAGAAGACCATTTATCAAAGGAAATGTAATAATGTCACAGAATGTCAGACATCTGTCTGCCTTCTTAATTTCTACTCAAGTCAGAATAACCAGGCTGGGTGGGGTGGATATTGCTGCCCCGCATATTAAGTGTCGAAACAATGCAGGGCGCTACTCACCTTGGTAGGAAGTGCTCCGTTCTCTTGACAGTTTGCAAAATTCATGTGGGTAGGTAGGCAGCGGGGAGCAAACAGAGAGGGTGACTGTAATCCAGCTCCGCTCAGTAGAAGCGCTGCCTTTGTGGAGGAGGCTGCATGGTGTCTTTCCTCCCTCCTGTCCGGCGGATCGGGCTTCTCCGGAGCGCGGCAGGTCACGGGGATGCCGCTCTCAACCGATCTGTCGGAGGAGCATAGCTGACCGGGCGGCTTCAGATACTTAATGCTCCCCTCTCAATGCCCTCCTCTCTTCTGGCTCTCTCTCTCCTCCCCCTCCCTGCTCCTCCTCCTTCTCTCTCATACAGGAGCTCTCCCCTCCTCCTTCTCCTCTTCCTCCCAACACATGACGTGATGCAGCCACCGTCTCCAATAGCAACCGTATCCCCCATCACCCCTATTACCCCCATTACCAGCTCTCATCCCCTTCAGCACCCCCAGGCTGTCCATGGATCCCTGACTGGCGCATGGAGGGGACTATTCAAGCACCTTGGTCTGGTCTATAGGTATTTTTTTTCTCTCTGCTGAGTTCCCCATGGGTCACACTGAAGATAAGCACCTTGTATTTCATAGATTGCCATAATATTTGGTTTAATTATATCTGCTGGCAGCAATACAGAGTTTTCAATATTAGCTCCCATGCTGATATGTATGGCCAGACTTTTAATTCCATGTGGCCGGATTTAATGCTGTATACAACCAACAGGAAATAGGAATAATAATAAAATTAATGATAATATTATCAATAACAAAAGGTACATTTTAAGTATCGGCAACCTATTTCAATAATTTAATTTAAAAGGTGAAATTTTTTTGTTTAGTTTGATAACAATACTCAGAAAAATAAAAAATAAATAAGTTCCTCAAATGTTAAAGAGGTCATATTATTGCATTTAAAATATATAAATGTTGTGTTATATAATGCCTTAAACAGCCTATGCGTAGTTTTAGAAGGCAAATGACCTACCGGTAATATCTTTGGGTGGGTTTAAGTGTCACAGTGTATGACACGGTTACACTGATCCCAGCTGACACTTGATAACAGGGTCTCTACTTTCCAGGTTACCTTCTCTAACACAGCAAGTACTCTTGAATCATTGCACTGTGTTCTTGTTGCGTGTCCGCTCTGGCTTCTTAAACTCCCTGTTGGTCAGGCAGTACAGCCTGATCACACTGATACTGGTTCTACTGGAGGTTTCTTTCTGTTAAAAGGGATTTTTTTTCTCTCCACTGTCACTACATGCATATAAGGGATAATGGATTGTTGCAAAGTAAACAACACTATGCTGTCTACTAGGTTTTCTAAGACAGTCTGATTGAATTATGAGTAAGAAACATGCTAAAAAAAAATGGGCCACAAATCGGATTGTGCATGGACTGCATAATGTACCCATGAATTTACTTTTTGAGATGAATTGATAAGAACTTTGCGTAAAGTGTGGGACCCACCCATAAGGGACCTAGATTTTTTTTCTCACACTGAATTACTTAACACTTATTTGAGACCTACGGTAATTAAAGGTTACGTAACGTCCAGCTTGCATTTAGTCACCAGATAGGACTGAGGCAGGAATCTCATTGAGAGCTCAGGTACTTTTAGTACACCTCTGTTAGAAAAATAAAATAATTATAAAAAACCTATTTAATATGTTGAAATATCATCAAACATATTAAGACAATAGAAATACATATTTGACCCACATACACGTTAGCTAGATGTTGAAGCTGTATGGAATCTGAAGCAAAAGAAGGATACAAGCTTTGAAAAAAAGGAATTTTCTGGGAAGAGAAAAACTGCTGAACACACAGATTAAAGAAATTGACCAAAGACTACAAAACTACTTTTTTATATCTGCAACATATTTACGAAGCATATTGCACTGAATGGACACTTGTCAGTAAAACACAATTTCATCAAAAAGTTTGTCTTTTTTGCAATTTCTTTAGTTAAACAGTAATACAGTATATATTTATTTTTTGAGTTTTTAAGAAATTAAGAAACCCTAAATGTCTCTACATGATCACTGTGGAAGGCCACTGACCTGACAGTTGTTCAGAGGAGATCTCAGTAACCAGCAGTCATTGACAATATCCTGGCCAGCAGTGTTAGCCAGAAATATATTTTCTAAAGATGCTAATTACTCAAAATGGTGAAGCCAAGAATGTTGAAGGAATAATGGCTGAAACAAGTATGTAGGGTGGAAAAAAGGTAACGTAGGCAACAGCGGTACTGACATCCAGTCTTTACCATTGCCACAATTCTTGAGTGTTGAGCTTTTCGTGAGCTCCATATGTCGGTAGTATTTCACTTGGCCTAATGAGAAAAAGACCGGACTGCGCTTATTTCAACTGAGAGTAAGATTGCTAAAGTAACTTGTATAATCTGTCTCCCGTCTTGATTTCCATCAAATGGGAATTTTCCACAGCCAGTAATTTTGTAAGCCATTTCTTTGGGTTAAAATGATCCACTGTCCTTTAACCAGCCCCAAGCCAGCAAAAAACACTTAATGTTTGATAAAACGCTTTTAGAGATGCTGATTTCATTTACCATCAATTGGTTTGAAGATCAGGGTATCACTGTATGTCAGCTGATGGACAAACCATCCCAATCTAAACCCGACTAACAGTGGAATAATCCAGAGATGAAGGATAGCACACCTAACTATGCAGACTCCAAATATTAAATAGACCTGACCTTATTTAACCCTATTTAACCCTTCCAGCACAGCTGAAGGCTGATCCTTCATAATTATTATTCTAACAAAATGGATCTCAACAAAACGTCTTTGTGCATTTCTTTGTGCATGTACTTTACCAAACAATTGTAGACTTTTCAGTTGGCCTACATTTGTGTATTAAATTGTATTTTTATTATTACTATTATTAATATTTACTATTTTAATATTATATATTAATATTTCTAATATTATATCAAAGATATTATAGTTGCTTATGTCCCTAACAGATTACTTTGCTCTCAATCTGCAGGTTTACTAGTGGTTCCTAGAATTTCTAAAAGTAGAATGGGAGGCAGATCTTTTAGTTATCAGGCTCCTCTCCTGTGGAACCAACTACCAGTTTTGGTCCATGAGGCAGATAACTTGTCCACTTTTAAGGGTAGGCTTGAAACTTTCCTTTTTGATAAAGCATATAGTTAGAGTGGCTCAGGTTATCCTGAGCTATCTCTATAGTTATGCTGCTATAGGCTTAGACTTCTGGAGGACATAGGGACCCCTATTTCATTATTCTGCTTAAATATATCTCTATGAAGCAATCTGTTAGTTTTATCTCTAACGTTATGCTCTCTCTGCTTTTTCTCATAGTAGCTTCACTTCGTCTGTTCCTGTTTGGCTGTGACAACATCCTGGAGAGAAATATCAGCTGTGCTGCTGCCATCAACATCATTGTTTAAAGATGTTCGAGATTGTTTTTCAGTATAGTCTTGTTTCTTTGGCTGTGGCTGGCTGGATGTGGTCTCATCTTCCTCTGGATTGGGGGTTGGCTCGGAGCTTGACTGCCTGGCTGTGTGTTTCCTGGACGGGGCCGCCTTTTACAGCTGCTTTTTGTTTTTCTGCTTCTGTGTCCTTATACCCCAGTCGGCCTCGGCAGATGGCCGCTCACACCGAGCCTGGTTCTGCTGGAGGTTTCTCCTGTTAAAAGAGTTTTTCCTCTCCACTGTTGCTACAAGCATGCTTAGTATGAGGGATTGCATTTGAGTCGATGCAATCAACTGGATTTCCTTAGACAGAAAACTTTGACTCAATTTGACTGTATGATCTGAACTGTAAAGTGCCTTGAGGTGACATGTGTTGTGAATTGGTGCTATATAAATAAACTGAATTGAGTTTAATTCCATATGCTTCTTATCTTTTGGCTCTCATCGCTTTTAAGAAATAACAATCAAAATGAATCCAAATAAAAAACCTGCAATGAATCATTGCATGTCATGAATCTAAATAAAAATATATGCTTAACATCTTTAACTGTGTCCTGACAAAACAACTTCTTAATGACATTTGAGGACAATTTAAAAGGACACTATTTCTAACCTTAAATGTGACATAGTAAATAAGGAAAATTGAATGAAGATTGCTTTTGGGACTACTTTATATAAATTTTTCCAAACTTCATGATGGAGCTTTGATCGATTCAATTTACTTAATAAACTGAAATTCATTTTTTTGAATGTGTGTTAAACAGAAACAGTTTTATGTTATAAAATGTACATTTAATTTATGATCACTAATCACAACTAAGTATCTTTTAATAATTAATTCTTATATTTACATCTTTAATCCTAGAACTAAAGCCATCATCTAGGTTTGTTTTGTTGTGGAAAACGAAATTCATTCGCTGTATTCCATCAAATTGGCTTGTAAATTTCAGATGCAGAAGAAGCTATAAGTCAAGGAAAACCCTTATCTTTTTTTGCATAAATTATAAAAATATAAGACCTGACTTCTTTCTTTTTGTTTTAAGGTTAGGTCTTATTTAGGTCACACAGCGTGACAGTATTACTAGCCGCAAGGACGAATTCTGAGGTGTTGTTAGTGTGATGCTGGAGGTCATTCTGACACCACTAGATTTCTCAAAGGAGGCTTCATTCCTTGCTGCTGACACCCTGGCAACCCTCTGCAAACAGAATGAGAATCAGCAACCCCAGCCAAGCAAGATTCATCATCATCATTTAGTTACATTACCAACACTTTATGTACCCCCTAGTAGTGTGTTAAAGGCAATTTTCTTTGTATCCGTTGACATGGAAATTGACGAGGTTTGCTAAATCGACCTAGGAATCAGATAACTGCCATCATCTTTCAGACTAAAGGCAGCTTTTTCTCCAGCCTTCACAAAGGGTTTCAAGGGACAAAGGGTTCTGGTTTCTTTAACTTTCTTTGTTGCTACTGACATCTAGTGGACAGTTCCTATCATAATAGCTTTAAGTGGAGAAGAAAAAAGAACACAAAAGCTGTGAGATTTTCTCAGCATCAAAAAATAAAATACTACACCTTAAACACAAAAGCCAAAGCATTAATAATGGTCTCCTTTTCATCTCTTATGAAGCACTATTGAGAGGACATAAACCTCATGGTTTCCACGCATTTAACAATAAAAAATGACAAAATATATGTTATTCAAATAGTATTTTTTTTGCCAGTTTTTAAAATTCTATTTTTATATAAAATCATATATTAAAAGCGTTTAAACTTTAATGAAGCATGAGCAACAAATTTTACAACAAACCTGACTTTAACAGTCAGGTTTG